GATGGTTGTGATCTTCGTCCGATTATCCAGTACAATTGCCGAATTTTCAGGCCCAATTGTTTTCTTTTGCTGAAGATATGTTTCCTCCATGTTAGCCGGCGATCTAAATGTATGCCAAGATACTTGGCTTCATCTGCTTGCGGTAGTTGTGAGTCATTTAGTGTAACTGGCGGGCATTGTCCTTTTTTCATAGTAAATGTTACCTGGACCGATTTGCTCTCATTGACTTTGATCTTCCACTTTCTTAGCCATTTTTGCATGTCATGTAGGTTTTCTTGAAGATATCTAGATGCCGTAGCAGGATCTATATGGGTTGCTAAAACAGCGGTGTCATCAGCATATGTTGCAGTCATGGTCATTTCGGTAATGGGTAGGTCTGCAGTGTAAAGGAGGTATAGTAACGGGCCTAGTACGTTGCCTTGAGGTACCCCAGCTAGTATAGGGTAGATTTCAGTGTAGAAATCTTCATGTTTGACGAGCTCGCCCTTGACGAAAGAAAATTGTAAACTGGAGAGTACAAAATTCAATTCAGTTCTTCTCATTTCTCTCGTTTTCGGTTTAGCGTACATGAACTGTTTCTGATATGAATTAATAATTGAATTTAATTTTTATCATAAATAATATTACTTTTCACAACTAACAATACTTCAAATACTTATGAAATTCATATTTCGCTGTTAATCGACTTGGCCCGGACGACCTTCGTCAGAACGATAGCAGCGCTCAGGTTAAAAAAATACGGTTATGTGGCCCTTCTTAAACTAATGTATGTTCTTTGGCGGGGAATAAATCTGTGATATTAGAGTTTAGTGATCTCAAGCAGATAGATTCATATTAATGTATCCATAGTGACGCGCAGATATAATGACACATGATAGCTTAAAGCAGGAATGGTGGAGCCGGAGCAGACGTCCATTGCTGAGCAACGGATCGGAAATCACGTTATCGTTACAATGAATAACGGCGAACGAGTCGTTGCCAGGTAGCAGGTTGCTAAATTTGAGATGTTTCGTAGCAACGGATAACACTTAGAAAACCAGGCCGTTGCTTGGGAATTAAGACATGGTTTCAGAGATAACCCATTCGTGAAGAACAGTAATGGAACCCTTTGAGGCGGTGACTTCTATTCGGGCTAAGTGGAAGTTATAAAAGGCAGTGGATTCGTGAATTCAAGGCGTCTGCGAGTCGTGGGAGGCGACGAATTGGAAGTCTCAAATCTGAGGCAGTAATATATGGTCGCGGGTCCCAAGGGACTCGGATCCGAGAAAGACTGCGCTGGCAAGGGCCAGCAGCATGTACTAATGACAGACCCATCCTCTCGTCAGAGAGGGCACCCCACAAAAAACAAGACCATTACTGTTAAACAGTAATTAATATCTGGTCATGAGCCCCAGATGGGGCTCGACACCAAGACTTACTGACAGACCGACCGTCAGTCGCAATGTAACTTTGACTTTGAATTCAAGGAGTAATAGAGATCAGTCTGAGATTAGTGAGAGATTCTTCAGAGAGGTTCGCGAGACACACGTCCTTCAGGAGTTCAATGTGCGAGCTGTTATAATCAATTGTAATTGTAAAGAAATTCCATTAAATCCAACCATCAAATCCAGAACCCATTATAATCAGTCATGCAAACCCCTTACACGTGACAATATAAATATGATTAAAGAAGTCAGCACAAACGTGTATGAAATTTGCTCTCTGATCGCGTTTATGCATATGTCCAAATTTTGAGATTATGGATGCTGACCAACTCGGTACTGTTTTAGACTACGAGTATTTATCTTCAGAGTGCCTTGGGGTGCTGGAGATTTTCAACTGACGAGTGACATTTACGTGAGTCCCGAGAGAGCACGAACTTAGTTCAGTGCGCCTGCTCCTTGCATACAGTAGTTTCGGCATCACTCAGGTTACAATGTGTGGCCCAAATTAAGAGATGTATAAATCTATGCGGTTAATGCTTATTTGTATTGTCACGATTTAGGGGTGTGGCTATAGACGGGTTTTAGATTGGTGAATGGATTTATGGACCACTTTTATACACCACTCGTAATTACGAGCACTTACAACCCTATCGCTGATTTCCACACTTTACAAATCATTAGAGCACACGCCAAGTATTCTCAGTCTATTTCACTAGTCGTTTCCTGGTAACAGATCTTAACAATGGAGATTCTCCAGCTTCTGTTGTCACACCGTTGCCGGCTGGTTAACACTCCACAACTGAACTATCAACTTAATTATAGCGCTATCTCTTCTCAGCCTCTCTTGTAGAATTCAACTCAATGTCAACTGAACTCATTGCTCCAACTGTCCTGGTTATAACTTCTCTGCACGAACCACACAGACAACACCGTTCTTCTGTTGTTGCGTTCGTGTCCGTTGTTGCGGGAACATATTTACATAGCTCTTGCCCAGAAACGGGTTGCGTAACCCCGTATAGTATGAATCTGATGCCCTAGCAAAGGGCATTGTTTCGCGACCGTTACCCAGTAATGGGTCTACACGCTACATTTTATTTATTGTGCGTGATATATGAGGTTCTTATGGCGGTAGTTATGAAGATTAGTGTCTTCCGAAACGCGACACCTTGTAGTCTGGGACACATTCTTCAACCCTGAAACATGTTCCTTAGAAATACCGGTTAATGGCTAGCCAGACTACTGCGTCACATCCCAGAATGTAGTAACCTGCATTATAATGATTTCAACACATGAGAGGGGCACTGTACTAAAAGTAGGCTAAACACATGGGTTCTTCAAGGTTTTGATAATATCATCATCATCATCATCATCATCATCAGTAATCTGTCAGACGACAGGTCCACAGTCTCTTCCAAAATAATTCCTCCACTTAATGCGATCTAGAGCTTTCTCCTTCAAATGACAGTATCCTCTTCTGTCCCCAAGGTCATCCAGCATCTTCTTACGTCTTCTTGTCACTTCTATCCGCCCCTCTAACTTTCCTTCAATAACTTCTTTTAGAAGGCAGTTGCTGCGTAAAACATGACCAATCCAATTAGCCTTCCGTTATAATATATATAATATTTATAATTTTTATTTCTGCTTGCGTTGTCATGAATTTCTCTTTTCGAAAGTCGAAGTAACTTTATTACTGACGTTCAGTTAGTCACACAGTCCGCTTTCGTGCCTAGTCCCATCTGGGGCTCATGACCAGATTTTAGTTTCGTTGTGGAGCGTCCTCCCTGACGACAGTTCGGGCCTGCCTTTTGGAGAGGTCCTGGTCAGCTAGATCTCTGCTCCACCGTGGCCGTATCTGGCCTGCCTCCTCTGGGGCTCTCTCGATCGTTTTACCGATTAATAAGGGGATCCCTTGCAAACCGATGTTTAAAGCGACGGCGTGGGGAGGGCAAGCTAATTATTGTTTTCTAGTTTTGGGTTAAACACTTGAGGAGTTTTATCTCTACTGTCCACATTTTTTTAATGGCTTTCTGCTGAAGTAGGGGGGAACATTTGCTGCATAAGCTGTCTAGATAGCATTTCATTTCCATCAATAGACGTCCTCGGTCACTCATTTAAATCTGGCTTTAGATTTGACAGATACTGACTTCGTTATCAAAGATCGGATACAAACTCTCCTTATTATTTCATTTCTGCACTAATTAGGCATTGCCGGTCCCGGTAGCCGAGCGGTCTGAGGCATGCACTGTCTTCGCTCTGACGGAAGCCGGGATCGTGGGTTCGAATCCAATCCAGAGCATGGATGTGTAGTATCTGTGTGTTTGTGTGTATGTGTTTTTCTGTGTTTGTGTACATGTAGGGGCCTTGCGACGAGCTGATCACCCGCCCAAAGGGTCCTACAGAATATCTAGTAATCCGAAGTGAAACGAAGAGTTTCATGAAGGTAGGCCAAGGCCAAAATTGGGGCTGTAGCTCCGAAAGGGAAAAAAATAGGCATTAGGATTGTTGTAAATGTCTACAGTTTAGTTTTCGCTGTCGATGTTCTTCATAAACTCTAACAGTTTAACGAACGCCACTTATATTTATCTACTTATGAATTCTCACGAATGTACTTCGTATTATGGTAAAAGGTAAAGCTGTCCCCTCTGCTTAACTAATTAAGCATTACGCCATGAAGGCGTATAGGTCCATATTTTCTTGACCTCGGCACTAGCTGGAGGTGAGTGGTTAGCTTCACACCCCGGCCGCTTTACCCCCGGGGAAAGAGCCCCTGGTACCCATTGGATAATAGCTGGGTGGGTCCCAGGAGCCGGTCTGGACGACGTGAAGAAGAGAAAATTATTCTCTATACCGGGACTCGAACTCCGGCTCCTCGGTCGACCAGCCGCAACCCAGTCGCTATTGTAAAAATTGATTGATACTCATTCTCTCACATTTCGTTTTCTGATCTCAGCAGCTTTCTTTGTCTTTACTGATAGTGGGGTCGGACTGAGTCCCTTGTACTGCGGCCACTTCTGGCCTATTGTACCAGCCCCAGATGATAGGTGAGGGTGATTGTGGAGCAGTTGGTGGAATGAAGATTGGCAGGGGAAACCGAAGTACTCGGAGAAAACCTGCCCCAGCGCCACTTTGTCCACCACAAATCCCACTTGACCGTACCCGGGATCGAACCCGGACCGCCGCGGTGGGAAGCAAGCTACTAACCGCTTGAGGTATGACGCGGACGATCTTAGCAGCTTAGAAATAAACGAAACTCTTCGCTCTCATACGAACGGTCTTCCAGTATTTATTTCGTATAGAAACGAACTGATCTACTGAATTTACACCCTACTCCAAATATATCTTCTGTGTCCAATTTGGAAGAAAGTGTTTCGTTTTTAAGTAAATATGAAATGTTATTTATCTAGTTAAGCCTGTCTGTCTGGCCGCGCCTAAGCTCAGGTGGATAGTCGCTGACTTCCCACCTCGGCGGTCCGGGTTCGAGCCTGGGTCTGGTCATGTGGGATTTGTANTAATAATAATAATAATGAAGCCTGTCTGTGGTGTGCAGACGTGAAGTCTGTCTGCGAACATGCTTACCTGCGTAACTGTCCACTGATCTCAACGCATGCGCAGCGCCCACTGGACTGTTACACGAGTAGTGACTTCCATTTGGCGATGCTGGCAGTCCTTGTCCGCTTGCGGATCCACTGCTGCCACTCCCGTTGCCTCCGTAAACACTGTTGCCATTTCCACTACCACTGCTTCCTAAATAGGAAGATCCTAATGACGGCGAAGCCGTTGAGCTGGCAGTTGTGTACATCTGATGCCCACTGCTGCCACTGCTGCTACTGCCGCCACTGCTGCCAACGCCGAGTTGCTGGTTGTCCTGTGACGTCGCCACAGGAGGGTAGAAAGTCCCAGTCACTAATCCATTATGTTCGTAACTCTCCAGAACTCTCTGGTTCGTGCACATCATCATCATGCCATTACTGAGACCCATTGTGGCTGTGAGGCTGTTCTGTTGAGTCTGGTGATGGTGGTGGTGATGATGGTGGTGATGGTGTAGCAAGTTGGCCGTTCCACCGTAACTGTTGGACAGCGCGGATGAGGAAGACGGTTGTCGGTTGTATGGTATGTGCTGCGACAAGACATGGTGGTACCCGATGGAGGCCGTTGTTGTGGTCGCAGTGGAAAGGTTCATACTGCTGGAAGTCTGTTGATGAAGAGTGCTTCCTCCGGCCGGGATATTGTTGTTGAGAGGGTTGGTAGCTGTGCCAACTACTAGAACATTCCCCAATACCCCAGAAGCAACCGGCCTCTTATCATCATTATTCGAACTTGTTCCTCCACTAAACTGAAAGTTGTCCTTATCTTGGTCCATTGGAGACATTTCTGGAGTTGGTAAGGCTGCGGCATTGACATCTTCGATTAGACCGGAGGCTGAGGAATTCTGACCGGATGAATGTGGTTGAGGTGTTGACGGGAGCTGCTGGGCTTGGGATTCCGGTGTTTCTGGCTCCTGCTGGTCTTCTTGCTGAAGTGTTGATGCGTGAGGCTGTTGCAACAAAGGCGATGATGCATTGCTCACTCGGTTGCCAAGTCCCATTCTCAGGGAGTCTGCTTCCGGACTGCCAGGAGGGGAGGCTTCTGGAGTATGCATTATAGGAGTGTATGGTGATCCATAGGTCACATTCGAACCATTGTTCTTGGAGTACAAGTGTTGATAGGTCTGGTGCGCTTGCATGAGAGGGGAGTAGCCACCGATATTATGCTGATGTTGGTAAGACTGGTATGTCAGTTGATGAGTTTGTGACTGCAGCTTTTGTTGGTGGTGCAATTGGTGGGATTGGTGGAGGTGGTGCTGGTTAATGTTGGAATTGTTGCGGCGGTTCCCACTGGTACCCACTGCACCGGAAGTTCCGCCGTTACCACTGGCGCTGGTGCCGGTGCTTGTGGCCGGAACGCCGGAAGGAGAAGGGCCACCGCGCTTGTTGTGTTTCCGGCGTCTGGGACGGTATTTGTAGTTAGGGTGCTCTTGCATGTGTATCACGCGCAGTCGTTCTGCCTCCTCCACGTACGGGCGTCGGTCTTGAGGTGTCAGACTCCGCCACTTCTTGCCTGGAACACAAAATCAAATATGATGTAGGAAAACATGTTTTGTGAAGCCTTTCCAATGAGAAAGTAAGAGCAGAACCGTAAAACTGATTATATGACTAGATTGTGAACACACGTCTCAGTGCCCGTATACCGGTTACAGAAATCTTGGCCAGACCACCCGACCATACTGACTGATGATCTTCGTGGGTTTTCTCGTTCCTCCATATGAATGCCAGGATTGAGAGTTAAATTAAGCCATCATCGATTTTTCCGCATTGTTTTCAATGAATTGTTTATATGGTGATCCAGTCATTTGGTGCTATAAGTCTACAGGCTCAGTTATTCACAGTTCCATGAATAAACTACAAATAAAAGTAAAACTGCTATTCATATGAGTGACAAATTTCAATTAGCAGAAACTTAACACAACTTTTTAAGGGTGAGTATTCACAATGTGTAAGACAGAGAAGATAGCGGAATAAGATTATGAGAATATTAATTCACTTTACTCAAAATATGGACGATACAAACTTCTCTGTGAAACGTCTAGTTAAATTTATGACATGAAACATCTTGAATACTGAAGTGATTATATTGCTGACAAAATTACGCAATAATTGATAGCTGGATTCAGCGTACAAAATAATGGCATTATGAGAGTGTGTGAAATTGTTGGTAGTATATGAACAGTATAGGTTGTGCTGAACTAAAGGATAAGCAAAGTGTAGAATCCAAATTGAAACATCTCCTCACCCAAACTTGAAACGTTTACACAATTTGGAATATGCTTATACTTATTTCTTATATGCAGCCTTGATTCTTCTTCATGTGAATTAGCGTATATTTAGTAAGTTACGTAAGGTAAAGCTATTCATGTAACAGGTCGTTGGGGCCGACAGGGTTCTGAGACGTCGAGGCTCCCACATTTAATAGACAGTCGGCTCACAGATGGCGCTGAGGCTGTCAGCCTTACGCGCCGGCCGACCGCCATTTACCCTAAAAAGTATAGTAGTATTAATTTATGCTAGCGGCTATGTCGACCACAGGGCCGTATGTCCAGAAAACCCCTTGATGTCTCCAAAAAACTGTGTGTTGTGACAGTTCTGTGTCACTTTCTTTACCATACATAAATTCGGTATTTAGCGAAAACCGTGTACGAGTTTAATTTGGTTCTGTAACCGATCACCCTTCTCTTGTAGATGGTAGTCAGTTCTGGTCTAGGATGCTGGGTGCGGCCCAGAGCCAGTCTGGACATGGAGAAGTGAAAAATCTTGTTCCCACTGGGACTCGAACTCCTACCTCTTGGTCGTCCAGCCCCTAGCCAGTCACTGCGCTCTCTCGGCTCCCCTCCTTCCGGTAGCGGGATCTAATTCACAGGATGCTGAGGTTGGTGTGCAGATTTCTGTTGAGGGCAGAAAGTGATCTACCTTCAGTGATGGTTAGACCACCGACAAGCTACTGACTCGAACTGGCCGGGTCGCGCCATAGCTCAAGCGGCAAGTCGCTGGCTTCCCACCGCGACGGCCCAGGTTCGATCCCGGGTCTGGTCAAGTGGGAGTTGTGGTGGACAAAGTGGCTCTGGGGCAGGTTTTCTCCCAGTACTTCGGTTTCCCCTACCAATCTTCATTCCACCAATTGCTCCACAATCACCCTCACCTCTCATCTGGGGCTGGTACAATAGGCCAGAAGTGGCCGCAGTACAAGGGACTTAGTCCCACCCCACAAGCAATAAAAAAAACTCGAACCGGCAGTGATTTGGGGCGCGGAGGCTCCACTCACTCTCCGAATGTATTTCAGCTCGAATTCAATATTACTTATACTGAATTACTTACTTTACTTCGAAGAAGTATTTAGGAGGTAAACGTGGGCTTCAGTTCACACAGATTATGTTGAATTTGAATTACTGCTTTATATGTTCGGATGATAGTCTAAAAACCAGTAAGTCCGAATTGGTTATGTATATTGTGACATGTGACATGTAGCATTACCAAGTAGCAGCTGCGTAAACAGGCGAGAGTGCAACAACCGTTGCTAGGAAACAGCTCTGTGGATACCTTGTTTCCCCAGCAATGAGAGTACATGCAATAATTGAACAAACGTGTTCTGTGCGGTCCGTGTCGAGGCTGTATAACGAGGACTAGTAGTTCAGTTGTTGTTGAACCTCGTCCTAGGAGGCGGGTTCGAATACCTCCACCGCAGCCTTGCGAGTCCTAGGAGCCGACGAAAAGGGGGGTATAATTAAGCCACCCTGTTCCTGGGGGATATAAATGCGGGGACCTGGCCCTCCAGGTTGAGGGAGTCTCGAATGTGAGAGAGTAAAATATGGTCACGACTCCCGTCGGACTCGGACCCGAGAATGACTGCGCTGGCGAGGGCCATCAGCAATTGTAAGCGACAGGCCCATCTTCTGATAAGAGAAAATGTTACGTAATGATTATAACCGCAAGTGCTCAGTTGAAAAGAAGAAAATACTGGTCGTGGGTCTCAAAGGGCTTGGTGCCAAGACGAACTGATTGGTGGTAAACTGGCAGTCATATAGTGACCCTGACTCTGTTGGCGAGTCAGTTGAGATGTGCAGTGTGGGCATTATACGGCAAGTTACAAGATGTTTCAACAAGGCAGGCCACTGCCGGTAGAATGTTTCCCGGACAGTTCTACACAGAGGCGTTAAGTGATATGCTTACAATGTACAAATGTTCTGCGTACTAACCAGCTACGAAAAGTTCATAATACTAATTTTCGTTCTGGATAATTCTCACAGTATATTCTTACGCGTTTTATGCTTCGTTGTGGGTTTCGACCGCTTAGGCATTACGAAATTCTGCAGTGGAGTGAAAGTCACTTATTCATTGTGCTAAGGAATATGATGATGATTAACAAGCAAGTAGAGGTGGTGATGTTTGAAGTGAGACCGCGAGGCCTCCGTTAGTTGCCAAGGGTACAATGCGTCATAACAACCATGCTGTTGCACTGAAAAGTGGCTAAAGTCCAGTCTTCCCTCCCTTCTGTTTGGAGGAGAGAAGCCGTCACCGCTTTTTTTTTTATTAATCTCCCGGACAATCACGTAAGAGTGGTTACTGCTCTGATAACTGACTAATAATAATAATAATAATAATAATAATACCGGAGTATGATTTCATGGATGTATGTTCTACAGTGGGGACACGAGGTAGCGTAGTTCGTTGAGGCACTATGATACAAGCCGGAAGGTCGCAGGTTTGATTCCCGACGTGTTCATTGGATTATTCTAGCGCAGTCGGTATAACGACTGCCTACGGGTTGGAGTTCGAGTGCCGGTAGGGTCAGAATTTTCTTTTCTCTGTATCGTCCAGACCGGCTCTGGGGCCCACCGAGCCTCCTATCCAATGGGTACCGGGCGTAAAGCGGCAGGGGCGTGAAGCTGACCACTCACCTCCAGCTAGTGCCGAGGTAAAGAAACTGTGGATCTATACATCCACTCTCCCATACGTCTTAATGCCGTAGTGCTTAATTAGTTAACCACAGAGACAACTTTACCTTTAACTTTGACCTAATCCTTCCAGCCGCACTATGGCCCTGGGATCGACTCAGCCTCTAACAGAAATGAGTACCAGGAATCTTCATGGGGGTAAATTGCGTCCGGCGCTTAAGGCTGACAACCTAAACACCACCTGTGAGCCATTTGTTTAGAAAATGTGGGAGCCTTGACGCCTCACAACCCTATAGGCTTCACGGCCTGTTACAGGGATAACTTTAAGTTCTACAGCGCATCGTCACGGTTTAAAAAAGTAAACAGTTGAATGATAAAATTCTCAAGCTGTAGATTCCGTTGTAACTTACACTCCTGTTTAGCGGTCCTTAATAACGCATCTACCCTGTAATCTGATTACTTATTCCACTACAGTCTGGATTTCGAAGGCGGAGTCTTACAGAAACATATTGACTTGTAATTATAAATATAAAAATGTTTATAATAAAATAAATCAATTTTCATAAATTATGTGAACACTGAATTCGCAAAGAAAGGTTCAATTTATTTATAATATGTTAGGGATTTATGTTTATATTATAAGGCGGACTGTTGAAACATCCATAATTCATCTCGTAACATTATCCGTAATGACCTCCACTCCCCTATTCTCAATTCTCTTAATGACTCTTCGAAGGGGCTAATATATTTTCACACTTAATATAGGCTTCCTAATTCAATCGACTGTCCACCAACGTATACATGAAAGCTTCAGAAAAGTAATTTCTCTTTAAATTTTAACAAAACTTAGGACATAACCCACTTTCAGCTTTATGCTATGAGTGGGTCGCTCGTCAGTACATTTGATAGTTTAAATTCCATTGCTGTATGGAAACCATGACAGTAAGAAGCACGCGAAGAAAACTGTTGTATGAAATATTCTGGCGGATTCTGAGCGCAAAACAATGAACTGTGACGAAATTTAAACTCAGCTGTACCCTAAAATATAAGCAAAATTTAGAAATAAATACTATAGTAATTCTTTTAACATAATCACTATAGGTCTCTCTGTAGAACTTCAGGAGATACACAAAGACTTGTACACATAAAAGTTACTAATACACACAATGTGACTGCTTCGTCGTGGTTATGTGACCCCAGTCAAAGACTCGGAATCCTTGACTAACACAATCGCACTTCATTTTATTCTGTTACAATTTGATAAGCTGAGATTTATGCCATAATTCTCTCCCTATTCTAAGCGCTGTGCAAAGCAGAGATTTTCACGTGAGGTCACAGTGGCGCACACCAATAATTTCTGGCGCACTTCACGACAGTAAGTTATGTCTTTTATTGAAAACCTTTTCCAGGCTTGAGATGAATACCCTTATTATCTTTTGTAAAGTCAATGATTGTATTTAGGCGGGTGTTGTGGGTCTGTGCTATATGGCTGCAATCCCTTACCTTCTAATACTACAAATACCACCGTCAACGCAACTGTACTTTATTAACTTATGTTCCACTACATGTTTCGACCTTTATAGGGTCATCCTCAGGTGTTGTGGTTTACATA